ACGTCCAATTAGCTCACCCACCCCGGAGCCCCTCCCCTTATTAAAATTAGGTGAGAAATACGCAGTTATAACATAAAAGAGCTATGAAACGTCCCTAAATACCATCACGGGCTCGCCTACCCTTCCTTGTCTACTATCTCGCCGGGGAGGGCGCAGACATGAAAAGGCGCCGCGCCGCCGCGTGCCCCCCTCCCCCCCAACTCCCTTAGCACCCTTCATTGGCTACTTTCAGAGTTCGACGACCGTCCGTCCGTCCGTCCGTCCGTTCAGCGCGTGCTGCGACGGCGGTCGCTAGAGTAGTGTTGACGGCGCTGGCAAGTGATTCAGTGTGTCGACAACGGTCAGGCGCCGCCGTCACGGCACGCGCTGAACGGACAGACGGACGGACGGACGGATGAATCGTTGAGGTCTGAAAGCAGCCATTCTTCACGCCATCACTATGTTAAGGCAATAGAAGCGGATTTAATGGACGCATACTTTCTCAATTCAGAATCAAGCTCTTTTATACTTACTACAATCTTAAAAGAGCCACAGTATGTTACAGAAAGAATCTGCAGAAAAGGTCGGGCAGAAAATATGACCATGAGCTTGAAATGGGGCGGGAACAAAAAGAACATCATGCGATGACCGGAAAGGTACCTCACTGTATGTATGTGTCAGCAAATTGGCGAAACGGATGTTTACCAGTACTGCATACACGAATTTTCGGATATGCGTTTGGGGGTAGGACCTGATATATCGCTTGTTTTACCCATACCGATATTAAGTTTTTGGAATTCAGTTCTTTCTCTTCCGAAAAATCGCAGGACCGCCTGGCGAACTCAGGTTATGAGCTGCTTCGCTTTTTTTGCTCCTCGATGCTGATGAATGGAGAACCTCACTTCCTTTAAAATGCCTTTCCTATAAGAAGCTCCATCTTGCCATCAATACTCCTACGCATAGCGGCAACAAAAAATATTGGCACCCTTCCCTTACAAGGAACCTACCGCACTTTAAAAGCGGGTTTCCACCAGTTTTACAAACACTAGGCTTCTACTCAGTCATCTGTTCCCTCAACTTCAAGCACGAATAGACCGTTAGATTGGCCTTGTTGCATCTAAAAAGGTCGTCCTAACCAACAGTCTCCGAAAGGTTTTTTAAATACAATTTAATGTAATCAAATAGGGATTGGTGTAACGCAGTTTTGCCATTCCAAAAAGGATTGCAGCCTCCCAGCCGTCCTTCTGAGCCTTTCTTTGAACGACAAGATGTTATTATTGTTACTCATCATCTCTGCTTAAGTTGATCTGATTAATCTCAAAAGTTGCATATGCTCGAATATTATGAAAATCCTGAAGAGAGGCTTCATCCTAATTTGAACGATATACAGACTACTAAAACTCAGTGATTTATCACCTTTGCAGTGGTAATTGAAAGATGAATTCAAAAGTTATAGAAAATTTGCGATCGCTCACCTCGAAACAATTCAGTAAAGAATAATGTATGAAGCCCATAGTTTAGGTCACCAGCGAATGACCCATCGGTTTCCTCTTGTAGCCCAACATACTTGTACTTATGCCGTCTTTGCTGGACAGCTCCGCTTGCTATGCACAACTTAACAAACAGAAATATCCACGTAGTAAAGCAAAATTTGCAAAAATGTCTTACTGTCGGTGAACGGCCGGACAAAAATCCCTTCGCCAAACCAATAGATTTCAGCGCCATAATTACCTGAAAACTTAAAAAATTATATCACATTACACCAACAATCGGAGGATACACCAAATCGATTTTGCTAGGAGCGTCGGTATTGTTAAAATTCACCCGTGACCCTAACCGATTCTTTGGCTTTGTGTGTAATCACACATAGTACTTAAGCCCGTGCAGAGCTATCGTAGCTGCTTTTTGAAAGAAAGCATCTAAAAAGGCAGAACAAAGAACTACCTGGGGGTGAGGATATTAGAGGTAAGTTTCAGCAAAGCTAGTAAAGAGAAGTTACGTCAAGGGGCAGTCAACGGAACTTCATTCACGTTATTTCAAAAAATCTGAAATCATAGTATCGGGTTGTGTGGGAAGTACCCGCCGGAAATTCTACGATAGCCCGAAATTCTCACAGAATTGTGGGAGCTTCCATAGAAATACTGTAGAAAGGTAAAATCTTGGAAATTTTTATGATATCGCAATCGTCTTAAAAGATGGAGCTGCATCTTTGGCCTTTTTATTTCAGGCTGGTAAAGGCTGATGAGATGGGCACGGAATCAGTTGAAAGAGGCTTGAACGCCAATGCCTGATCACAAGTTTCAACGGGGGAACGTCCGCGCGCGTCAGTCGAAAACAGGTCGCACCGCAGCCGTCGCACGCGGTGCGTCAGCCAGCGATTTTTGACAGGCGTCGCAGTCGCAGCGGAACGAAGCGCATTCGTTTCAACGAGTTTTATTATCGAAACGGAAGGGGTGTGAATTCGTAAAAAATTACGGCTTAGACATGGGTAGACAGTTGGGTCATTATATCCTCTATATATATATATATAT